CTCCACTCGCCAGGCAGAAGAATCCTTCTGAGATCTAAGTCAGATCATGCCCCACCCCTCCACCCCCTCCTCAGAATCCCTTAATGGCTCTTCATCTCACTTACAGCAGAAGTCAAAACCCTTGAAAAGGCCTGCAAAGGCCTATCTGCACTGGGCTGCTTCCCCCAGCCCCAGCCACCTCTCTGCTCTCACGTCCTACCACCTCATCCTCCACTATCTTCCACCCTAGCCACAGACCTCCCTACCATGCCTGGAGCAGGCCAGTGTACTCCTACCCCAGGGCCTTTGTACTGGCTATACCCTTGGCCTGGATGACTCTTCCTCAGGAAACCATGTCACTTCCTTGTTTCCCTCTAACAGGACGTTTTTTTTTTTCCTCCTTAATACTTATTTATTTATATTTATTATTATTTTTTAAAATTTACATCCAAGTTAGTTAACATATAGCGTAACACTGATTTCAGGAGTAGAATTTAGTGATTCATCACTTACAAATAATACCCAGTGCTCGTCCCAAATGTCCTCCTTAATGCCCCTTGCCCATTTAGCCCATCCCCCCACCCAACACCCCACCAGCAACCCTTAGTTTGTTTTCTGTATTTAAGAGTCTCTTATGGTTTGTCTCCCTCCCTGTTTTTTTATCTTTTTTGCTTCCCTTCCTTTATGTTCATCTGTTTTGTATCTTAAATTCCACATATGAGTAAAGTCATATATTTGTCTTTTTCTGCCTTATTTCACTTTGCCAACTCCTCAAGGGCAGAAAGACACATCCCTGTAACCTCAACACCTTACACAGCACTTGGCATAGAGCTGGTGCTCAATGAGATCTCCAAACAAGCCATGCTTGGTCTTGCTGTTCCTCCTTTGCACAAGTGCTGTCTCTTGATTACCAAAGTTTCCTGTTCTCTGCCCCCAACCAGAAAAAACACTCCTCTTCCCAGATAATGTCCCCTGATGAGGCTGCAATGAGCTCTCTTTCCTGACCGACAATGTTCGTCCATGCACGTATGAACTCCTTGGCCCGTTCAACAAGCATCAGGGGACCTGCTACTAATGCAAGCCCTGCAGCGATGGCTTCCCTCTCAAGGGGGTGAGACACAAATAATAAACAAGAAAACCCACAAAGAATTAGAATGTGGTCAGTGATGCGCCAGGTGATTTGAGGGGGCAGCTAAACACCGGAAAAGTGGGGCTTCTCTGAGGTGACAATTAAGCAGAAATCTTGAGAAGGGGCAGCTATGTGAAAGATCAGGGAACAGCATTCCAGGCAGAGGGAACAGCAAGCGTGTAGGTTGTGTGGAGAGAACGAGCTTGTTGTATTTAAGGAATGGAAAGTGACTGGTATGGCTGAGCAGAGACTGTTGGGGGTGGGTGAGCAAAGGAGGGTACCAGCCTAGGGTGGGACAGCAGGCAAGGAGCTAAGCACACAGGGCTTTGTCAGCTGGGATAAAGAGTTTATTCTGGGTGGGATGGAAAGTCCTTGGGGCAATTTAAGCAGAAAAGCACATGATTTGATACTTGCTTTGAAGAGCTCACTCTAGCTGTGGTGTAGAGGACGCAGAGGGCAAGGGTGCAAGCAGACAGGCTGAAGAGGAAACTGGGGTCTTCCTGAAGAGAAGTGAGCTTCGAACAGGGTGTGATGGTGGAGGATGGGTTGGCAGGGGAGACAAAGGCAGGGGTGCAAGAACCACTTCTTGATGCTGGGCTCGAGCATCAGTGTGGATGGTGGGATGGGGAAGATGTGGGCAGGAGCAGGTTCAGTGGAGGGAAGAAAAGCAGAGAGAAGTCTGGGCTATACTGCCAGTTTGGAGGTCATCGGTCCTGCCTCCTCCAAGAGGCTATAAGCTGCCTGAAAACTTTCGTCCTGTTGCCTCCGCCTTCCTCACGCCTGGCTTCAAGTCTTGGCTCTGCACTCAAGAAGAGATCCCTCCAAGGAGGAGCTAGGGCTTTGGTGACTAAAACGTGAACTGTGATGGCCAGGGAACAGCATCCATGTTCTCTATGCAAGTGCTGCTGGCTGGAGTGACTCTGGGAAGCTTCATGAGCTTCAATGCAGAGCAGGGCGGAGCCCCGAACAGGGACTCAGATCCTTACTTTGCCACAGACTGTGGGCGGCCACCCTCTCAGAGCCTGTTTCTCACCAGTAAAACGTGAATCCCACCACCCACATGCAATGAGCCTCTGGGCAGCAAATGAGAAAACATATGCAAGGTTGCCAGCCCATAGGAGATGCTCATGGAATAATCGTAGCTAGCACGCTGGGAGAGCTTTCTAGGTTGCAGGCCATGTTCTAAGCATGCTTCCATATATTAGTGTGTACAACCTTCATTATAACCATATGAGGTGTATATTAGTGTTCTCCAGAGAAACAGAACAGGATGTGTATATATAGAGAGAAAAATAGATTTATTTTAAGGAATTGGCACAAGTGATCATGAAGGCTTGGTGAGCCCAAAATCTGATGGGGTGGGCTGGTAGGCTGGAGACTCAGGAAAGAATCACAGTTCAAGTCCAAAGGCAGTCTAGTAGCAGAGTTCCTTCTTTATGGGAGAAGTCAGCTTTTGTTCTATTAAGGTCTTTCTTCAACTAATTGGATGAGGCCAACCCCTATTATGGATGGTGACCTGCTTTACTCAAACCCCAGTGATTTCATCTCATCCAAAACAAACACCTTGACAGAAACGTCCAGAATAATGCTTCGCCAAATATCTAAACACCGTGGCCTGCCGTTGACACGTAAAATTAACTGCTATACGGTGGGTATGAATATTGTACCCAATGTACAGAAGAGCAAACAGGCACAGAGAGGGTAAGGAATCTGCCCAAAGTCTCAGAGGAGAAAAGTCAGACTTGACATTCCTCCTGCCTGGCTCCAGAGCTTTTAACCATGACACTAAGTGGCCATTATCATAAGCAAGCCAACGTGAATTAAATTTCTCTCATCCTTTTCCTGGCTTGAGGATGGATGGCAGAGAAACCGGGGGAGGCTCTCCCTGGGCGAAGCAGCTTGGGTGGGGCCCTGTCTTATTTAGGAAGCAGCACAGAACCTGAGCCTTGGCGATGGAGGGTGGGGGCACCTGAGAGGTTATCTAGTCCAGCCCTTGACTTTATAGCAGGAAACTGAGGCCCAGAGAAGGGACTTGCCCAAAGCCCCAGCGCTTCAAAAATGATGAGGATGATGATAAACTTACACTTGCATAGCAGTTATTATGTTCTGGAAACTATTCCACGTGAACTTGTTTAATCTTTTACGTGTGAGGTAGATTCTATTGTCATCTTCGTTCAAAGAAAATGAGGAAACTGAGGCACTTGCCTAAGGTCACAAGGGCTGCCGAAATCGGAGCCCAGGCTCAACCAGTACACTACAGCTCTAAGGCCCAGGGCAAGTTTCTCGGGTAGAGGGCTGTGACAGAACACAATCCCAGGTGTGCCCCTCCTTCCCAGTTCTCCCTCCGGGGCTCTGACTGCAAGTGACAGCGGAGGCCATATACAATTCCTCCGGTTCATAATGCGGCCTCACCCTCCTATTCACGCAGGAAATACCCTCCTGCACTAGGGGGTGGGCATACCCGAGGCACCCCCTGCCCAGCTGACAGGTACATGCACACACACATCTCGTCCCACACCAGACACCTCCCAAACAGGTACACACACATGAACGCAGACTCTAACCAGATACACCCCAAACAGTGGCACACACACCTAAGCACCCTACCAGCCAACACAGCCTAATAGCACACAACTATGAAGACCCACACACGTACACACAACCCCACATACACATGTGCCCCCCCAATACGTAAACCAGGACACAACCTTTCTGGTTCCAATACACATAGAAGCAAACACTTGCATACACAAAACATGCTAAACCATACTCAGAGGCACACACACCACACAATTACACCTACCCCTATTCACATTCTATCCATCACACATGGGCACACACACCTCTACTGTGTGGAAGACATCTACTGGCCAACGCATTTCAATACAGGTATCTCTCCATGGGAGCCAATAACGTCAGCCACGTGTTTATACATACTCCCACATCCCAGAGGGCCAGAACCCCCAGATGGCTGCCCATCCCCATAACTCACCACCCCCATACGGGCAACACATATGCCAACACAGATAGCTCAAGTCTGCCGCCCCCACCCCCTCACCGCCCAGCCGCCAAACACAGCCCTAACTCCTAGGGACCACCCTCCCCCAATTAACTTCGCGCCACCCCCACCTAGGCAGGTGCAGAATCCGCCTCCTCCATCCAGGGAGAATCCTTCTCTGACCCCAGTGGTCAGCGTCCAGCACAGTGTCTGAGGACCTGCCCCGATTTTCTTATTCCCACCCCCTTCACAAACTCTCTGTGGGCCCTGGCACCCGTCAGCCCAATGCCAGGGCCGGTCCGCTCCCTCCCATCCCGGCCTCTGCTGCGACCACCCAGAGCCCCCACCCCTGCAGCAAGGAGAACAAGCTCAGAGCTGGGGGAAGAAGGGAAGGTTTGCGTTGCAGGCGTTAAAAACTCGTAGTCACTCAAGTACGACCCCCTTTGCAGTCCAGGACCCCACCTTCCCACGGGGAAAACCCTGCGTCTCCGTTAACCCTCTCATCACCACCGCACCACTGGAAGCACCCAGGGAGAAGTCAAAGCAGTGCCCAGCAATAGGCACTGCAGCCCGGGGGGAGAGCGGGTAGGATCCGGCTGCCTGGATTGCGGGGGCCCTTCACGAGACACCCCCACATCCCCCATGCACCTATCCCCACTCCCACAAGGAGAACCCGGGAGAACCTGAGGCATTCGGAGGGAGGAGAATGTGCGAGTACCGGAGAGCTTAGGGGCCACGGGCTGGGGAGGAGGACAGGTGAAGGGAGCCCATGCCCCGCAGGACCAGGGCGGGCGGCAAGGACAAGCCCCCAGAAAGTCAGCTGCAGGATCGGAGACGCGCGAGCGCAAAGCAGGAGGGGAGGTTGGAGGGAAAAACGCCCGGAGGCTCCCTTACCTGATTTCCTCTTGGAACTGCCATAGTCCCTGAAAAAGAAGCAACAACAGATAGACATGGTTAGGGCTGGGCAGAGACGCGGGACTGCGCCGCTACGGCTGCAGGGCACCCACGGGCCGGCTGCTGTCTGTCCCCGGCGCCACTGCTCATGTGATCCTGGCGGCCCGCCGCGCGCTCCGCAGCCGCACGCACTGCGCGCCGCGCCTGCCCGCAGGTCCCGCGCCAGTCCGTCCCCGGGCGCGAGCCGCCTGCCCCGCCCCGCCCCGCCCCACCCCGCCTCCGGCACCCTTGACCCCGCCCCGCCCCGCCCCGCCCCCGGCCGGCTCGACAGGAGGGGCTGGGTGGGCACCTTCCCGCTTCTCAGAGGGTGGGGGAGGGCGGGCCAGGTTCTCACTTCGTAAATAGGGAAACTGAGGCCCTGGACGGTGGTCACTGGAAGCCAGGCCCTGCGGGCGCTGGGAGCCTGCTCCTCTCTCCTGGAGAGGGGACCGCTTCCCCTCCCAATTCTTTGCACAGCTTGCTCATCCCCACTCAGACTTCAAGTCACGAGTGAAATGTCACCTCCTCAGCGTGTCTTCCTCAACATCCTCCCCATCTCATCTCCTTTTGGCCTCTGCGTAACCACAGATTTGTATGGCCCTTTGATTAAAGTCTGCCCCTGCCCTAGACCCAAGGCTCCCTGAGGTCACACTGTGCCTTGCTTCCTCCCATTACATCCCCTGGGCCTGGTGTAGGTGTGGATATATATCGGCTGTAGGCTGAATATTGAACAGATAGGTCTTTCTCCTTAAGGGCTCAGGCTGGGAAACTGGAGATTCAGCAGGGGTGAGGGCACAGCACAATGCAGGGGTAACTGCCAGGTCAGAAATAATAGGTATGGAAGTTGAGCTTCTGAGTACTGGGTTCAAATCTTGTCAATGGCAATAACTCAACACCTCCCAACCTTTGATAATCTGCTCTGGACTAACCCCAGGCTGGGGCCTGCCCCACCCTCCAGCAAGGAATTAACCCAGACTCACGATGGGGCTGTCTCCCAAATCCTGCCCCTGCTCCTGCCTTTGGCCCCTCCCACAACCACTTCCATTCACCAATCCTCAGGGGAGCTTCTCAGGCCTCTGAGATGCTGGAGGTTCTGTTCAGTGTTCAGGCAAGGCTGGCTGTGGATCTATCTGGAGACTAGAGGAAATGCCTTTATTTTCCCTGGGGGGATCAAAGAAAATGCCAATTGCTGGACTTTGGTCTAAGTGAACTGGCCAGCTAGGTCTGCCAGCTGGAAGGAGGTGATTTCGTAGAGAAAGGGACGGCAGGTTCACAAGAAAGTCAGCCTCAAGGAGACTCCCTGAGATTCTGATTCTGGAGGTCTAGGCGGGGAGCTTGAACTTCTGGGGAGTTTGTTAAGTACCAAAGTGATTTGCCCACACAGCCAAAGATAAGTAAGGGGTTCTGCCTCTCCTAGGCTCCTAAGTTTTCTAAAGTTTGGGCTCAGACCTCAGTGAATCAGAATGCTGGCTGGGGCTGAGGCCCAGGAACCTGCATTTCTGATACCTTCCCCCTACCCGCCCATCTTGCTTGAGAATTTCCTTAGCATTCCATGCTTTTAATCCTCACATCCACACTAAGAGAAGGTCCTATCACACCCATTTTACAGATGAAGAAACAGAGGTTCAGACACTGCCAAAGACTGCCCAACTTAGGGAAGAGCAATGGTATATACACCTATCTGCAAGAATGAAAACTACAGGGTGGGTGGGGTGGAGGAGGATGTGTGCATCTGTTGCCTCTAAAAGGAGTTAGGAAGGTGGGGGAGTTCCCATTTGCTCTCCAATCCCTACCTGGCAGTCCGGGCATGCTCATTTCCCTAGGGCAGAAGGGAAGACCAGGAGAGACCGTGTCCCAGAGTGCCTGCCTGGGCCCCTTGAAGCTCAACTGTGGGGAGAATTCTCAGGGAGGGTCAGGAGAGCATTATATGGTGGCTATGTTCTGCTTAGTAGACTTGCCACTCCCAAGGAGGAATTCATTTCTCAGGCTTTTTTACAGAGTGCGGGAGGCCTGAAGAAGGGCAGCAACCAGATGGCACTCAGAAGCTGTCCCTCCCTGCCCCACTATTTTCCTGCTGGTCCTGCAGGAGAAGACCTCTGGCCCTGGGACCACAATGGCTCACTGACCATCCACTGGCTGCCAGCAGTCCGGACAGGGGGTGACTTCCTCACAGTGATAGCCACCTACTTCCTCTCGTTTGTGCAGCTGCCCACTGCCCAGGATTCTCTTAGAGCCTGTCAACAGCACCAAGAGGGGAGACAGGCAGGTCAGGGACAGGGGAACATACTGAGGCTTGGGAGTGGGAGGGAGACATAACTCACAGGTGCTAAGTGCCTCTTCTGCACCATATGCCCGGGTCAGCAATACTTAGCTTGGTCATTCAACAGGATCATCGGGGAGCTGGTTATAAATTCAGACGTGGAGTCCCATCCCAATCAACCACACAATCTGCACCTCTGACAAGCGTTGGCCAAGAGCTCTACTCCTTTACCACAACCTGACAGGCAGGAGTGGCATCAGGGGCACTGTAGTTCCTGTACCCTTGTCTCAGAACCCCGGCCACCACTAAGAAACACTTCTGCTTAGTAAGGACAATGGGCTTGCAGGGCCAAAGAAGATTCCAGACAGATCCCCGGCCTGCCTGTCCTTTAACCAAAGTATAAGCCCTTCCCACGTGGACCCCCCCCCCCATAGGAGGTGTGGCTTCCCGGTTTGCAGGTGAGGAGAGTAAAGCTTAGAGAAGCTAGACAACTTGTTCAAGGTCACAGGGTGGGTAGCTGAGGCTGGGATTGGGCACTGAGAACACAGGCCTTGCTCTGGGGCTCAAATCCTTAAACGCTGCCATCCCTGGAGCAGTGCATGCAAGGAAGGAAGGGGAGCACCAGGTCCTGGGGGCCTGAGAAGCACATGGGTCAACGGAGTGGAGCTCCCCCTGGCAGTGGCCGGGCTGTGACTGAATGGTGGGAATGGCAGGTACTGGAATCCTTCACACAGCATCTGGCTTCCAGCCTGAGCAGGCACGGCCCTAATATGGAACTTCTTGCAGGTGTCTGGTTGGGCAGGTATCCAATGGCTGGGACTCCCCCATCCCTCACATACCAGGGCATGGTGGGGGAAGGCAGGGCACGCCCACCTCCGGCTGCCCTGGGCAGGGCCTCAGGGCCTTCTGCTGGGGTCCAGCCCCCTAACAACTCAAGATCCCCTCCTACGCTGGCCCTCCTAGCTCCAATTCTTGCCCTGAGCTGGTACTGACAGCCCCCACCCTGCTGGTGATTCCACTCTGGCAGGTCACAGTCTAGCCTCCTTCCTGCTTGCTGCTGAATCACTATATCCCAGGGAGCCACAGGAAGCAGAAGGGGAGGGGAAGGCCAGTCTCCCTCAAGCATCGCCAGAAGCTAATGTAATTGCAAAGGCCTCCCTGGCTGTGTCCTGACAAGGTTCCACCGAGCCACTCAGCCTCCTCTGCAGCTGGTCTGGAGGATGATTAAAGACCACAGGTACGGCGACCAGCCATCCCAGGCAAACCGGGGCATGGGAATTTCAGGGGTCAAACTGGGAAAATCTCAAACTGGGACAGTGGGCCACCCTCTGGTCCATGGGTCTGGCCCTGGCTCAGGGAGAGGGGTGGAGTTCTTCCAAGCCAGCACCACGCCCTTCTTTCCTTTCAACCGGACTCCTTGAGGCCTCCCACTTCCCCTCCCCCACAATCCCAGGGTATAAACAGTTCAGCTCCTGGCCCTGCCTCTGGGATGCCCAGTGAGGACGGGTTCTGGAAGCAGACAGAGCCCAGTTCAGCCCTCCACTACTTGCTAGCGGGTGGTCATCTTGAGCCTCTGTTTCTCTATCTGTAGAATGAGGGTAATAATAGTTCCAAATCCTTAAGATTCAGGGAAGATGAAAAGTACAGTGTGCATAAAAGGACGAGCATAGTGCCCGGCACAGAAAATGCCACATAAATTGTCTTTGCTATTAGTCTTTCATACCTGCAACCGACCCAGGCTGCTACCCAAATGGCCAAGGTCTGCTTAAACGTACATCTGCAAGAGCCCTTCAGAAACAAAAGGAAGGGGCTTCTTGTTAAGGACCTCACCATGATGATGGCAGCACGGTACCAGGTAGGGGCGACTCCAGCCTCGTTTTCAGAGGCTGGGGCTTTTACAGACACAAAACAAGCACTATGCTCTCTGCCGACCACAGTCCACCCACGAAAAGCCCATTTCTACACGCTGAACATTTGAACAGAGCTCATCTGGCAACAACAATCATATTTTCAGGGAGACATTGACCCCTAGGGATTGGCATGCCTAGACTCACTGATGCCTTTAACCTCCCAGAGTGGCCTAGTCTCTAAGCCCCAAACCATAAGATGTAAAGGTCCTGCATTTTCATGCCAATGGCACCCAGGTAGGTCACTTTTTTTTTTTTCCTTTGTTTCCACTTTCAGTTCTCTTGGTGAGATGCTGCACTCCTTCTGCAGACCTGCTAGTGAGAGCGCTGGGCTGGAGACAGTCAAGACCAAGAGGCTGGACGCAGGAAAGGCGGTTAACAACGCCTGCCTGCTGGACACCTATGTTTGCACAAGCTTCTCCACCCTCTACCCTCCCTTGAAAATTCCCGGCAGGCATTTGACCTTTAGTGCTCTCAAATAGGCCGAGGTGGTGGTAATCCATTTTACGAAGGAAAAGACTGAGGTCCTGAGGGCTTAAGTGGTTTGCCCAGTGCCCTGAAGCTCAAGTGACATTCTGATGCAGTGCCCCGCCCACCCCCCACTGATGCCCACCAGGGAATGGGCTGCAAGAAGAGGATGCACAAGTGGCGGGGGCAGGCTCTCGCGGGGGAATCCTGCCAGTCAGGGATCCCGGAGTGAGAGGCAAAGCCAGGAAGCGCCGCTGAGGCAAGGGAGAGAATAGGAGAAAATGCCAGTGTGGTCGGGCCAGCTCTGTGGAAGGATGCTGAGTCCCTGCCAGGCAGAACTCTGCGTGCTGCAGGG